GTGATCCACAAATCATTTGTTGTTCCGGGTCTGGGTGTGGTGTGTATATAAAATTGTATGTTTTTAAACGCACCACACAGGAGAAAATGGAAGAGAGCGGAAAAGTTCCGTATTAAAAAAAATTAACAGTGGATTATGCGTGAAAATGCCTGTAATTTTTTTAAGCTTTTTAAGGGCCTTTAATTTTTGTGTGTACACGAGAACATTTAAGTAAGTAGTTATAGAAGTCTAGATTGGTTTTGCGTAAGGATCAATCAAAGGTACATGATTTCGAAGAGTACACAGTAAAAATAGAACTTTAAGAATAATTAACTCACAATTCTATAAGGACCGATAATTTGACATAGCTCGTTGGCGTCGTATTTTAATTAAAGACTCCAATTAATTCAGTGTCAATGACTACATTACCATGTATAATTAAATGTATCAGCCGACGAATTAAAATAATTTTCCATTTCACAGGATACGCACAAAATACTCCGGTGTAATGTAAACTGATTATTTATGTTATACAAGCGGACCGCCCCAGTGTCCATAACTTTTATAACGGTAACAAAAAAAAAACTACGTCAGTGTCAAGTCATTTATTTTGTTTTGTTAGCAAACCGTCTTCGTCGTGGTGGCACCCGCTTCCATGCATAAAGTTGCGAGTTAGAAACCTGGCAAGTACCAATGTGATTTTTTCCGAGCTATATGTTCTTTCTATGATTATTTAGACACCACTTACATACGGTGTAAGAAAACATCGCGAGAAAATTTGGACTTAATAATTTCTAATTATAAGTTTGAAATCGCCAATTCATCTTGAGCAATCGTGGTGAACAATTCTCAAACGTTCTTTGTGTGAAAAGAGGTCGTTGCTCAGCAGTGCGTACCGATGATGTTACGAGTGATGTATTTCCTAATGTTCCATTCTATTTGTCTAATTTTTTTTTCATTCCTTGTCCTGATCTTTCTTCATTAATCTTAATGCGGTTGGATATACTAAAAATGTTGCAAAATAACCAAAGGTATTTAAAAAGCAAACAGCAACAGATGTTTTGCTGTCTTTATTAAATCTTGCCTTTGTATGCATAATATTTAGCTTAATTCTACCGTCATAAGGCTTCCGGAATGATGTTTAATAAAATTCGTCGCATTCAAAGAGAACCCGCTGTGCTGAAATGCATTTCACACTAACTAAATTAAAATTCAGCGCTTGTGAATTAAAAGTTAGGTTTCATGAAATTCAATTAAATAATTCTGAACTATATGAGATTATTCAGAGATTTATTTAATTTAATATGTATAGCTGTCGACCAAAAATGTTTACTTTTATTTTAAAATTTACTACAAAAACATAAAGGTAATATAATAATTAATTTTGTAGTTGTCCCATACTAACCACTGACACTGACTGATTGACTTCGATAAATGAAACTACAAATACATACATAACAATATACTATACTCTATAATATACTCTATCTATGTATGAAAGAGCCATGTGAAACAGCCAGTGTAACTACAGAGTTGTGTTTCGCCATGTGAGCGAGGTTGCCGGAGGCCCTGTCATTTTTCCCCTCCCCCAATCCCTAAATCTTTGAAACCCAAATCCCTAAAAAGACAGTAACGTAGACGTAACTATTTTGATGCAAGTGCCCATTGGTAGCACCGATTGCTTACCGTCAGGTAAGGTCATCAGATCAGGTCGTCCTATTACATAAAACTAATATTGAATATTTATAATAAGCTTCGACATAATTTTAACGAGTATTTACCTAAAAAAATATTTCATAAAAATTGCAAACATTGATTAGGTAGCTAATATTATGATCTTACTACTAATAAAGACTAACATCGCTAACTAGATCTAATAGTTTACTTCAAAAACAATTGTAACAACGCTCTACGCTGTCTAAAACTATTAAATATTCATTAAAATTATGTGACTAAACTGTCGTGGAACTAATTTGCTACTGCTGCTAATTTAAGAACGAAAGCTATCTTGAAGGAAGCCAATGTTACTTGGAAATTAGGATATCTAATTGAAACAGTTTACTAAAGAAGACGATAGGGTATCAAAGGTTGATAACTTTTTAATTCACCAGAGAATCACCAAAATGCTACCTCCTAGTCCTTTCCACCATCGAACCTCACAATCAGCAAAAATCAACGCTTCAAGGTGGAGATCCCACCCACATAGTGGACGTGTAGACCCACGAGCACGAAGCGATTCACTTCCAGTTTTTCTATCGAAACAGCTTACCAGTGAAATTCTTTGCCAAAGTCTGTGTTCCCCGAAGCGTAAGTTTAGGAGTGGGAGCTACTTACGTCATCGAAACGTATAACATGTACTTAATGATGACGTCACACGATAATTCAAAAAGATTTTTCGTCGAATTTATTTGATACCGTGAGGAAAAAAGAACGTATCTAATGTTTTAAAATAATCTTTAAGATGGGCATACAAATATATTTGGCTATCAAACTTCTAGTCCTCAAAACATATTCCTAAAAATGAAAATAATAGTTCGTCAGCCTGTCCGTCAGAAAAAGCTATACAGGTCTTACATAGTCTTCAATGAAATATTTTTCAATAGTTTGGCACCACGAGCGAACCTTGGAAGCACGCTTTAGACTTTAAGGCATTTGATCAATATAATTCACATTAAAAAATATTTACTACATTTAACAAAGGTAATATATTATTAAATATGATAGATCTGCAAGTGCAATTTATTAATGTTACTGCAAAAGACAATCGTCATTCTTACCATTTGCCGATGGCACTTTATGATATTGCATTTAAATTAAAAATATGTTTGCCTCGTTGATATCGTATTATATTCATAATTGAACACTTACCACAAATGAAAACATTTGATCCGATTTCACTTTCATCATGATACTGCAATTATATTAAATAGCTTTTTGTATTAACGGCATTTCCATAGGCTGATATTGGCCTTGACCATTACTTTATTCCAAAATCAATACGGATTTGTAATTCAATTGTTTTGAGTGATATGCAGGTGACATTTTGCAACGTCCGTGCGAGCCGTGGTACCGTTCATATAGTCGGATTGACAGTAACCTTGAATTCTCCATAGCATTGATGGATCCGAATTGAAATGGAACGCCATTTTTCTGTTTTAAATCTTTCGTAGGTATGTTCTAGAACGATTCGAAGTTTTTAGAAAATTTACGTTAATTTCATATTGTTAAGCCGGTCTGCACTGAAAACTAGTCACTTTTATAGAAAAATTCTGAACGTGATATTCTACCTTTAAAATTTCAAGCTCTGCAGATGACAGGTTCCACGTTCACAGCAGTAAGAAGAGTCTGCGGCCACTACTTTGGTGCATATGCCAACCACAGACTGTTTATCGTTTTTCCAATATGATGTTGTCGATATCAGGAAATAAATAGCATCCATGACTTTTCCAATATCCGCAATGAAAGTGAATTCAATGTTTCTTTGATCTTGAACTTGAACTTCTAGCTGGAATAGAATAAAATATAGTTTATTGTACAAACGTCACATGCAACTTATGTGTGGTCGAAGCGGGTCTATCTTAAGTTATATACTTAAAGTGATATTCATTTGTACTGTATTCAAATATATCTTTCTAAAACAAAAACCCATTTTTATCATAACGTAATTGTTTTAACAGCAAAACTCAGAGAGTTGAAATTTTCAATATCAATCAATCACTGGTCGTAACACCTGTATGACAGTCTTAACACAAGTAGAAAAAGTGAACTGAAAACTTTCTGAAAAGCTTTTAGCTACACACTGGAATGTATTGAAAAGTTTTCAGGGTTATCATGTAAGTTTTCATCCAGAACTTTTCTAATAAATGCAGTTTCAGTGTAAGTACAACTATTGATGAGACTTTTACATGTATTTTATACATACATACATAGTGTACACGTGTATACAGTCATAGTATGGCATTTGGATGTTTTTTGTTTCGCTTAACGCTTGAACCAATACTGAAAATAATTGAAAATAATGTTAGGGGTGCAAAAAAGTACAAAATTCATTGAAATAATAAAGGGATTACATAAACTTCTCTAATATCTAGATTTTATTACCATAATTGTTGGGGGAAACTGCCAAAAGGCACCTAGCTTGAGGAGAAAGACTAGGGAGTGTGGATTTCCTACTTTACTTTACTTAAAGAGTTCGTTATCATCCGTACCTAGTAAAGAGTCCCTGTCAATATTTTTGCCAAAACTACTTTGCCGACGTTCGTATTCAACTCAATAACTGCATTAAATAAAACATATCTTTGAAATTTACTATATAATTTACAGATTAATAAACATTATTTAAAAACGTTTTTAGATATATTTTTTGTATTTTTCATTTCCATCGCGTGCTCTTATATATTTTCGTAACAAGGCAGCTCGAAAATTGATAGGGACTCTTGAGGACTCAGACGCCTTTAAATAGACCAGATCCTCGGCACATATCAAGCTCTATCACCTTCCACATCTGTCAAAATTTGTAAACTTTTATGGTATTAAATTTTATAAGTCTTTTGACATAATTCGTGACATAAGTCGTTACTTACTAATTGGCCAAAACTTTTAATATTAGCTATTCGTGACGTGCTTGAGCACAGAATACTTGAAACCGTTTCGTTTCAATCAAATCAAATCAAAATCATTTATTCCAAATAAACCATAAATAGGTACTTTTGAAACGTCAAAAAATAATAAAATAAATTATATTAAATGAAACGCTACGAATGCCTCGTCACAGCCACTTATCTTAAAATAGTCTTTCAACAATTACCTAACATGTGACTTAGTCTACAAATTCGTAGGTACATACTCAAATATTACTTTTGACTTTCAAAATTGAAAATGCATGTTTATTTTCCGTTGTTTAAATTATTTTTTATTGTTTCTTTTTGTTTTATCATGCAATACTTCTGTACGTGTATTGAAACGAATGTATTGAATACTAAATTGTACACATGTGGTATAACATTGTATATATGTGGCAGTTGGATCAACAAGTAATCCAGGTGTTGCCTCGCGTACCGTCTGCATTGCAAGAGGCAGTGCAACGTCTTCTGGCAAGGGATCCCCACCCTCGCCCAACCACCCAACTGTTGCCGTTGATCAAATACTTTAAGTAAGTTCTTGTTCTGTAAAAAAACTAAAGACTGGCTTTATTGGTTTTGGAAATAGCTGCAGTAATTTGATATAGGATGCTATATCTAATCTGAAACGATTTGTTGTGCAAGTATACGATTGTTAACAAATTTCTCCCTTTGTGCAGAAATAAGGGTGATCAAGAGCAGGCAATAGCCGCAATGCAATTCCTGGATGTGGTGACCATGAAGGACCCGAATCAGAAGGCTCATTTCTATCGAACCACTCTGATTGAGGCTCTGCCATCCATTCCTAAGGTAAGTCATGAATAATAATATGGTTTGTGTACTCACAATATTTTACTCGTAAAAGCTGTTCAAGGACCCTGAGTCTAGGTTCCAATCAATGTGGTGATTGTTAAAAAAATGTTAAGTATCTGACTGATTTTTTAGTGAACGTGGACATTGTATTTGGAATTCTGAGTTATTAATTATAGTTATTAGGAATACTCACTCCATAAACGACTGAAGAGAGAAATTTGCACACATACACACACGATGACTTACGAAAAAAGAGAATAGGTATCTCTGAAATAATGAACGATAAAAGAAATTTAATACCTACCTTTTATTTTCGTGTTAGACCATTTTAAAGACCGACTATTCGCGTTAATGCGCAAATAATAACAGATTTAGTATTCGATGTTGTTTTCAAACTAAATATTAATTTTGTATTTCGAACAGCTAACAATTCATAATGCTCGTGTTGTTTCACCAAATCAACCGAGCCGGCATTAAAACCTTAACTTATTTTTAGAAAACAATTAAAATTTTCATTGACTTGATTAAAACATTATCAAGCAAATAATATATTTGTTGTAAAGATTCTAAATCTAAGTTGATATCTATACTAATATTATAAAAAGGTCAAATTTGTAAGTTTGTATGTAAGGGGTAATCTTTGGAACCGCTTGCTCGGATTTCCAAAATTCTTTCACTGATAGCAAAAATGTTCCTGCCTATAAAAAATCACGCTACCATCAAATGGAGCCGAGCAGTAGGTGAAACCGCGTGAGAGTAGCTAGTATTGTATGAGGGCTGATTTTTCAATAGCCAGAAAAATGTTATTTAAGAAATAGAATTGCTGCTGTCATTTTCTTACACAAACATTTTAACGTGACAGCATCATAATATTTCCCTGAAAACTTTAATTTAATCATTGAAAAATCAGCCCTAAAATTTAATATAAATAAGTTACTTAGTTTAGTTAATGTCATCATGACGTTGAATCAGGTGTACTTAAATCATCTTTTGCGCTTTGCGGTCAGATGGATGATGGCTGTTTGAACCACGACCCTCGAAAGGATCTATTCAACCCTCTGACGGTTCTTCGAAATGACCCGCGATCATAATATTTTGATGATTTACTTGTAACAAACAGAATAATTGATGCATTGAAAAACGGATCGGTTAGACTCGTCCAGTTGTACATTAGTAGGCAGCAAGATATGATATTTTGTATTGTCTTCCTCAACTTAAGACAGTCCGTTCAATTTTTCGATGTCAAGTAAAAATGGTTTTTACCACTACTGATATAGAAATTCAATTCGTCTGAACACCTTCGATCTAGTATATTAATAGGTAGTAGCTATTCTTAATTTAAGTTTTCAGAAGAACAGGTACATTAAAGAATCAAAGCAACTTAACACACACACAAGCAGATAGAATATTTTTAGATTCAATCAGATTCAACGTTTCTGGACATTCTCGCTAGTTTAGATTGGTATCTACTATTCCATTAATTAGAAATGTTAACATTAGCTGTAATCGAATTTATTTTTTATTTTTCTAGCATTTATCAAACATTAATTGCCAGCAGTGTGCATAAAAACCTTTGAAAGTCAAATTTATTTATTACCATTAAGTGTATAAAAAGATCTTTACACATGAGCACTTTTATGGCCTTACGCAGAATATTCCCAGAAAAGCTAAAATATAGAAAATATTACAAACTTATTACGGACTATTAAAAAATACACAATAAAGTCGGAAGTTCTTTAGCGCAGAATCTATAGCATTTAAAAGCCCAATTATAAAACTTTGGAATGAAAATCGAGGCTTAAAATAACTTGTTTCGAGTATCAAACTTTAATGCTCAAGATAAACTCTACAGGTACTTAAAAAGTATCAAATTTCTAAACCTACAAATACCAAACTATCTAACAATTGTAGGTAGCATAAACTTTCCGCGAATTTAACTGCTTAAGCTTAATACAATATCCTTACAATGGTTGATTACTGCTACTTTTTTAATAACATAAATTGTTAATCAGCCTTCTTTATTTATATTTATTGTTTATATATATTTATATATATTTAAGTAACACAACACTTTTATCATTAGTCAATTGTACTTTCAAAATTTGAAAATATTATTTTTATTTATTTATTTTTTAGTCAGATTTCAATAAAATATATATTTATACCAATATTTAATACTGTTGGTCAATGTATTTTACGGATTGAAAAATTTAGCAGTTTATTATGTAGGAATTATAAGAAACCTAATTAGTGACAAATTAACATAAAAAACTAGGTCATCCTGTTTCAAATACAAACTTCTGGAGATTAAGGTCGAGCAAGTAAAAATAATTACTTTGAGTTATTCCCCGTAGCTTTATATTTCCTGTATTGAAACGGTAGAGGTGAAATCACATCGAATTTTAGTACTCTGTAATATAAGAGCTAAACCTCTTTTGTGTTTAAAATTATATGTACATGCAGGGACATCGATGGAATTAATACTAATTGGTGTTTTGTACTGTGTTATCTTTGACAGAAGAAGATATAAATCTTAAAAACTACGCAACGCATTTTGATGCGGCTTTTCAATAGATAGGGCAGTTAAAGAGGCAGTTTTAGGATAGCTGGTACCAATATAAAAAGTAACAGAAAATACTACAAGTCAAAGTCAAAATCATTTGTTCCAATTATACCATAAACAGTTACAGGTAGACTTTCGTAATCGTTTCCTACCAATCTCATTCTGTATTATTTTCCACATAACCTTTATCTTATCAACAGCTGATTTTATTATAAAATAAAATTAACACTATATTATTAAAATCATACTAAAATTAGCCCCAATAATAATATTAAATAGTTTTTGGAAATTAAATTAAGAGTTCTCTAACATCCTTTTCCAATGATTTCACGTGGATTTGGCAGGGCAGTAACAGGTTGGCGTACACAATTGTATTCAATAAACAATACATCGTTTTTCAAAGTTGGTTTTAGATCTGCCAATTGTATCTTTGATATTAAATGTACCTGTTCTTCATAGTCAAACAATATTTTTTATAAGAATATTTCTATTTCAGTTCTCCTATACACAAAGTTCAAAGCCGTCTTTAGAAAAGTTGTCAACTTCTTTTCTTCTTGTAAACTAACATCATAAGTACGTTTTGTGTTCTTGAAGATATTTGTAAAGTATTAGATGTTTTATTTCTAAGTTTAGTTTATGTTTAATATTTTGTTTAGTGTTCAATAACACCTACATTTAAACTTCTCCTTAAATAATATGTTCTGATTTATTTCTTTCTTTGGAATCCAAGACAGTGATGCAAGTTCTTGGGACGCGCCGGACTCCAGTGTTTTGATGATTGTTTGTACTGAATATCCTGGCTCACAGGAGTTGCGTTGGATACGGGAGGTTGTGGCGGGCGTCTCCATAAAAAAGACAGCTCATAAAAAGGTGCAGATCAATTATGATATTACTTGCATCTGAAGACTGAAAGAAGCTATCGCCCATGAAGCACCAAAATAGTGTTCTATTAGACCTCATTAAGCTTGGTGTCGCGATCAGTACATAATCGCTCTGTGATTACTAAGATATCCTACATTACACGGGTCTTACATTACTCTTCAAGATGAATCATCTTAATAGGTTTTTTTTATTTTTAGAAACTACGCTGGCAACACATCTGGCCAGCTCTGCAGACGGAGGTTCGCACCGCCGAGGTTCTAGCTTCTGTCCTCCAATCCGTGATGTGGATGGTCAAAGAGGCCGATGAGGAGGAATTCGAGCTCTACATAATGCCAACCTTAAAGTAAGAAACACCAGAAGTGCTGGTAATAAATTGTTACCACAGCTTTGTTATAACACACAGATTACTCATAAATACAGATTTGAATTTATGTAGCAAATGGCGACCTTTATAAAAAATCCCTCGCAAAATAATCAGGGTTGTTACACCAGTTAATTTCTTTCTTGAAACGGCAGCCCTATTCGTGCTCAACACAAGTGTATTACTGTAATTTAGTTACCACGTACCTGTTTCCGAAACTTTTTACTTTTATGTATCTTTAAAGAGAAATAGTATAAAGAAATTTACTCTCAGATATTCATCTCAGTAAATTAAGTTTAGGTTATATTAAAGCGAAGTTTTTAAACGAATTTAGTTGCAATCATTAAAGTATACAAGAAATATCACATTTAAAACAAGGAATTAAAAAAATCTTACACGATATCTTTATTTCTTGCACCTTTTTAAATTAAATTATCGATGCTGTTTAAATAATATTTGTGGAAAAATATTTCCAGGCGTGTTTTGCATTGCTAATGAGTTCTAAGAATATTGTGGCCAATGTTGTTTAGGATTAACAAAGCGATTAATCTTGTTACTATTTTCATTACAATGAATTATTCAGCCATGTTAACCATAATGAAGTTTTTTTTTTTTTTTTTTTTTTTTGTGAGGGGAAAATCATCAAATGACTTCTCCCGCCCAGGGCCGGGCAGGAGGGAGTGTCAGACTCTTACTGACTAAAAACCCCCCTGTTCCTTCTCCTGCTCTGTGCCGAGGTCGCGGTACCTCATTGCGCTTACCCCGCAACCCCGGCTGAACATCAGCCCTTTAGGGCCCCGTCTGTGGTGGTCTATTGGCTCTTTGAGGCGCGCGCGGAACGCTACGCGCCTTACGCTCGGGCCTGGTTCTGGTCGGGCGGCGAGCTGCCCTTACTCGCCGACCGCAGGCCCGTACTTACGGTGGCCGGAGATCGTCCCTCGATCCCCGACGCCCGTAGTGTCGCCAGTTGCGGCTGCTGGGGCGCGAGGAGGAGGATTGCTCCCTCACGCGGGCCGCCTCTCTCTTTGCGAGCATGACCGCTTCACAAAAGGAGGAGACGGCGTCCCAGTTCCTCTCACTCCGCACCATGGCCTCGACTAAGGCCGGGCGCGAGAGGTCGCCGCCGCCGATCACTTCCCTGAGGATACGGCGGTGCTCAGCCCAGGCAGGGCATACCGCTACCGTATGCTCCACCGTATCCTCTAGGTGGTCCTCACAATGACGACACTCGGGCGTTTCCTCCCGCTGAATCCGAAACAGGAACCTACCGAAGCTGCCGTGCCCGATAAGCACCTGCGTCAGACGGAAGGTGAGGACGCCGTGGCGTCTCTCAAGCCACTCCTCAAAGAGGGGTCTTACCGCTGCTATGGTAGCGTGCCCGGCCCTCGGTTGCGACAGTCGTTGTCTCCACTCTGCCATGAGATCTCGCCGGAGCTCATTCCGCCACGCACTTATTTGGCGCGGCAGAGGATCTTCGCCCCGGCGACGCGCGTCTGCGCGCAAACTGTAGACGCGCGCGAGCGCCTTCGCTTCTAGATCCCACGGCGGTGATCCGGCAAGGAGGTTCGCCGCCTCCCCGGAGATCGTGCGATACCCGCGGATTACTCGTATAGCCATGACCCTCTGGGACGCGACCAGCGTACGAGCCGGCCGCCGCTTCAAGTCCGGCGCCCACACAGGGGCACCGTAGAGGGCCATGGATCGCACAATCCCCATATACAACCTCCGGCAGGAGGCGTTTGGCCCCCCGAGGTTGGGAAGGAGCCGCTTGAGCGCGGCCCCAGACCGTTCCAACTTAGGGGCCAAACGACGAAAATGCTCCGTGAAGTTCCATCGGCTGTCGAGGACGAGACCCAGGTACTTCATCGCCGACTCGACGCCGATGGTAACTCCTCCTGCCGTTACTTGGGACCCACCTGGAGGTGGCGCGCTCCGACGGCCATAGAAGCACATGGCCTCGGACTTGTGGAGCGCCACCTCGAGTCCCAACTGCCGGATCCTTGCAACGACTGTCGCAACCGCTTGTGACATCAGGTCGGCCGCCGCCTGATGCGACCTCCCGTTCGCCAGCACCAGCGTGTCGTCAGCATAGCAGACAATGCTGACGCCGCTCGGGAGGTCGGTGCGTAGCACCCAATCGTACCCGATGTTCCACAGGAGAGGTCCCAGGACCGATCCCTGTGGGACACCGCGCGACACCTCTCGCCGATTCCACACGCCCCGGTGACCGGGGTAGATGACGCATCTGTCCGTCAAGTAAGCCTCGACTACACGACGGAGATAGGCAGGCACCCGGTGATACCGGAGTGCCTCCAAAATGCAGCTCCAGGGCAGCGAGTTAAAGGCGTTGGCGATGTCCAGAGACACCGCCACGACGACTCGCCTCCCGGCCAACGCTGTCCCCGTCGTGAGGTCCCTCACGCGCATGATGGCGTCCACCGTGGAGCGCCCTCTGCGGAAGCCGAACTGGCCGTCCGCTAAATCCGGCCCCCTTCCAGACAGGTGCCCGACGAGGCGGTCTGAGATTATCCTCTCGAACAGCTTTCCCACCTCGTCGAGCAGCACAATGGGCCGGTACGCGGACGGGGAGTCCGCAGGACGCCCCGGCTTCTTCACGAGGACCAGTTTACCCGTCTTCCACGACAGCGGAAACTGGCCTCTCTCCAAACATGCGCTGAACAGACCAAGTAGTCGAGGCCTGAGAGCCTCCGAGGCCAGGACCCAGACCTTGGCATGCAGCCCGTCAGGTCCTGGGGCGGTATTCTTGCCGCTCAGCCGGCGCACCGCCACTCTCAAATCTACCTCGGTCACTTCCGGAGCAGATTCGTCGTCGTCGTCGATGTAGCCCGCATTGGGCACCGCAGGGGGCGGGGGCATAGCCGGAGGCGTGTAACCCATCTGTGGTCGGGGGAATAGCGCCCCAACCACTTCGTCCACGACCTCCGGCCGGAGACTCTGAGTCAGTGGGGGCGCCCAGGTGCGGAGCTTATCACGCACCATCCGGTAGGGGCGTCCCCACGGGTCTCTGTTCAGAGTCTCCAACATCTCCTCGCGGGCCCGATCTTTGGCCCGCCGGATCTCCACCCTGAGGGTGGCCTTCGCCGCCCTGTACTCCTCGTATAGCTCCGCCTCTCTGGTTTCAGCGTCCAGAGGGCGGAGACGGAGCCTGCGGTGCCTGGTGTATCGGCGTCGCGCTGCGGTGCACTCACCGCGCAGGTCTGCCAATTCCTGCGACCACCAATACACCTGGCGCTTGCGTTGGCACGGTCGGATCCGGGGCATCGCCACGTCGCACATCCTTGACATGGCGTCCTGGAGCCATCTCGCCTCCTCGTTAATGTCGGCTGGCCTGACCGGTGGTATCACCCAGGCCTGCACGACTGCGGCTTCCAGGAAAAGCTCCCGGTCCAGTTGCCTAAGCGCCCAACGCGGGCCACACGGGGCCTGTCTGACTGGCGGGTCTGCGGACTCGGCGGAGACGTCGAACCGTATATACCGGTGGTCCGAAAACGTCTCCACCTCCTCCATGACGCGCCAGTCAACAACGCGCGATGACAGAGCGGGGCTAGCAAACGAAATGTCCACCACTGACTCGCCCCGCATCCGTACGCACGTGGGGACAGAACCCCGGTTCAGCACGACTAGGCCTGTCTCCAGAGCCCAGTCTTCGACCATCCTTCCCCGGACATCAGTGAGCCGGGAACCCCAAGCCAAATTCTTGGCATTGAAGTCCCCGAGGACCAACACGGGGAGGGGACGGTACCCGACGACGACGGTGACTAACTCCCTGAGGGAGTTGTGGAACTCGACGAGAGTTCGGTTCGGAGAGAAGTACACGCCCACCACGGCGATCTCTCCGAACCGAGCCGCGACGCAACCCCTGCCTCGCTGAGGCCCTTCGGGGGTTGGGGTACCGGCGGCGGCCGACGAGATGATGGTCACCGAGCCGTCCAGGTCTGACACCCAGTGTTCCCTGGCTGGAACGAAGTACGGCTCGGAGACCACAGCAACATTGATCGACCACTGCGCCATGCTCTGGAGCAGGAGATCCTGAGCAGCGACGCAGTGGTTGATGTTCGCCTGGAGGAGGCGTAATGGAGCCATTATTGGGTATCCATCACGACCTCCTCTCTGACGGCAGCGGCGACAGCAGCAGTCGCAGGGGTGTTGGCGACTGCGGCGGCAGCGGGAGCGACGGTGGGAGCGGTGGAGGTGGCTACGGGCCTACCTTTGCTCCTGGGTTTGGTGGGGGGGGAGCAGGTTTTGCCCCCAACCCGGTGATCAGCCGGTTTGCCAGCCGCCGCACATACTACGCAGTGCGGCGGGGCGGTACAAGCGCCGGCCCTGTGACCGGGCTGACCGCAGCGGAAGCAGCGGTCGCTGCGGTCCACCTCTGAGGTGCACTTGGCACCCACGTGGTGACCCACGAGGCAGCGGAAACACCTCAAAGGTCGGGGTTCCAGGAGCTTCACCTGCGCCGAAACCCAGCCCACCAGGAGCCTTTTACCCTCTGCCAGCTTTTTGGCCGCTGTGACGGGGCAGCTGACTACCACAGTCCGCAGCCCCGTATTGTCCGGGCGGATAGTGCCTGCCTTCACCTGGTCAGCAGGGCACCCCCCCGTCCTGGCGACAGCGGCCGCCACCTCATTCTCCGTCACGGAGTCGTCCAGGCCCATGATGCGTAGCTCCAGGCATTTGGTGGGCCTGGACACGCGAGCTTCGTCCGCCGCAATGCACGCCCTGAGCCTCTCGGCAAGGGCGTCAGCGGACGGGCCGCTGGCCGCGCCGGGGACCTCCAAGAGACGGGCTCCAGTGGCAGTGACCCTCACTGCGAACCCGTCGGGTGCCCCAAACTCCGCGGGAGTTACCGCCCCCTTCAGTTTGGCGAGGACCTCGCCATACGTCACCCCCTTTTTCGCCGCGTCCGGCTGTAGTGTGATAACTACAGCCGAAGATTTTGGGGCGAGGAGCATTGCCGCAGCGCGCTTCTCCCTGCGTCGCTGCTGCCGCCGCTGCCGCTGCTCCTTCTTGCGGCGCTTCCTCGCCTCTTTGGCGCTCCTTCTCGCCTGCCCGGCCACCTGCCACTCGTCGCCATCGGTGCGCAGCTCTGATAGCGGGGTTGGGGCTGCAACGGCTGGAATTTCAGCTGCTGCGCCCCTTCGCTTGCGGCTACTTGGTGCCAGAGGCACAGCAGGAGCCGGTGCCGGTTGAGCTATGGGCGTCCTCGTCAGCGGCGGGGCTCTCGGTGCATTCGCCGCAGGGGGCACTTTCGCCCTTTTCTCCACCGGAGCGTCAGCTCTGACGCCGCGGCTAGGTGGTTGCTTCGTCTTCGCTGCCGCGGCTGCATAAGTGCCAGTTGCGAGCGGGGGTCGAAGGAGCCTACCCTCCAGAGCGTCGAAACGCTGCTGGAAGGCGGCCATCTCCTGCCGCATGAGGCCAAGAAGGTCGGCCTCCACTGGCTGCGAGGGTTGGGGACGACCCGCGCGAGCAGCGGCGAGTTCCGCCTTTGCTGCACGAAGTTCCGCCTCCAGGGCAGAGTTCGCAGCCGCTAATCGGGCCAGCTCGCGCCTCATTCCGGCCATCTCTTTTTGCAGAGCGGTCATCTGCCGCTCTGCTGAGCCCTGCCGGGACACCGCCGACATTATAGCAGCCTCCGCGTGCTTAAGCACTCCGTTCCTGCCAGCCTGGGTTTTTTGCCCAGCCAGCATGCGGAGTGCTTCCTTAACCTGGAGGCGGAGGCTCTCAGCGCCGCCTACAGAATCCTCACCTCCGGACACCTCCATCTCCGAGGAGTCCGAGGGGGCAGCCTTTCCCAGGGCGCTCCCCTCCGCTGCCAGCCGCTCTGCCGGCACAGAGCGGCTCCCAGCCGCTCTTGTGGAGCCCTTCCCCTTGCCCCTACCCCGCGCAGCCGTGGGGATTTTGGGGGCTGGGGCCTCCTGCTCGTTGGAGGACGGCTCTCGACCGTCCTCCAACCTGGGACGTTTGAAAACGCCCCGGTCCTTTTTGTGGCGCAGCGCAATGCTGACGCCAGACAACGATGAGTCGGACTCTGAATCCGACTCCTTTCCTCCCTGTGCCCTTGCCCGGGACTTGCTGGACGGAACCAGCGTCTCCCCACAGGTCCGAGTGCCATCTTGGCTCTCGCTTCCACTTGCAAGCTGGCTTGCCCTCTCCTGCACTTTTGGTGGTATGTTTTTTTTATTAGTTGGGTTTAAGTCTTCCATGTTATTCCCACGAGTATGGGGGAAATAAGAGGTCCGCCCAGGGAGAGCCCCCTGTCCCTGGGTAAGTGTGCATTTGTCTCCCAACTAGGGGGTCCACCGGTCCCCTAGCTGGGGGTGCGCTCACGACTGATCCTACTCCTCAGCCATACATACCCTCGCCGCGCACCAGAACTTAGTATTGGAGGAATTTTTTATAGAGGTTATCTTCCTCGCGGTCCGGGCGGTTAAGCCAAGACCCTCGTCCCGGTCCGAGTCATAAAACATGACCATGATCTCTTCCCGGATTACGATATCGACGGGTGCAGTCGGGCGCAGCTAGTGCCCCGATGCTACTCATTGGCAGGGTGAGTGCACAACGAGCGCCGCCCTTGTTTCTCCGCTCCGCTCTCTGCTAGGTTCAGAGAGTCGTGCGGAGGAACGCCCCCACGGAGGCGTGGACTCTATGGCAGCATAGAGCCGATCGCCTCTAGAACCCGACCGGGTTCTCCGCCCGGCCAGAAGTTCGCTGCGGGCGACAGTCAGTCCAACCCTGTCGCCATCCCGTTAGGAAGACTGTCGCCCGCACCCAGGGTGCACCACGGGGAGGTCTTCTGGCACGCACCCCAACCATAATGAAGTTGAGATGCGTAAAATAAACGTTTAATAATCTATACTTAAACCTATATCAGCAGAATATGACATAAAAAAATAACTTAGATTTAACCGTAATAGAAGATTTATGCGAACCATTACAATTTCCCGTGCAGGACTGGCTTTTCCGGATTGGGCATTTAAACGTTCCGTTCCCATTCTATCTTCTTACTGCAATTTATTTCTATGCTGGTTTCTAATAATAAATTTGCTTTTATTGAATGTATTTTTGAGCGTTATATTTCTTTTAGGGCTCTGTTCAATTCGCCAAGAAGCATTCAGGCATCGGTCACCATTCTTGAGAACATGCACACAATCATGCTAAAGTGCAACCAGACGGAGATAGACCAAGAAGTGTTGCCAATGTTGTACCATGCTTTGGAAAGCAACACTACTCAAATTCAGGTACGTTAATAACATAGCGTATTACAATATCTAACAATATGTTTATACAACAGAGAATAACTAACTGAAACTCTTTTTAATATTCTGTATTAATTCATATCACATACGAAAATTACTTTTCGTGCATAAGGTCACATAAATTCAGTCAAAAATAACAAAACAATAATTTATTTGTACAGGCTGCATCATTGGTTGCCACGCAAAATATTTGCGATTCCATTGACAACAAGGCGCTCCACACCGAACTCTTAAACAAAGTCAAGTCGCTGCTTGAGCGGAATGCTAGCGACGTGAAGATAATCAGCTTGATACTCTGCTTCTATGAAAAGATTATAGTGAAGTTCGACAGGACCCTCATCTTGGAGCAGGTGATTCCGACTCTGCTGGCTATGCGGCTCAGCGACCCAGATATCGTCACACGTGTCGTTAGTGAGTATATTTATACAGTTTCTGGTCCCTACCAATTATTACACAAATAACTGGTTTTAATAGCTCTGCGTATTAGTTTATAACTGCCTTAGCGACCTGTACCTAATTTGCGAGTTCTAATGCCAAAGCTATTTCAAATTTCCAACTAAAGCGATTTTTAACACCACAGCTAATTGTTTGAACCATATTGCGCAAGTAATAATTTTGAGATTATTAAACCTAATCATTACAGAACTATACAAGTCCCTACTCATGGAAAGGAAATTTGGATTAACTACCAATGTGATGGCAACGAAAATGATTCCTTCGTTGGCTCCACAAACAGTTAATCCTGCGCTGAACGTCGACCAGTTTACTAATCTCATGGAGGTATATTTTCTGAGAATATTATTTAATTTTGAAGTGTACTCCAGGTTTGTAGGTAACAAGAATAAACTAACAATGTATTTGTTGCGACGCACCGCCCAGATCCTGTACGACATGCTGGAGAACATCGACCGGCAGCAGCGCTACAAGCTGAAGGCCGACAACCTCGCGCTCCCGAGTCCGGAGCGTCGCAAACTTCGCCATCAGATGAGCACAGATAATATGAACGCACCGCCTTTTAATATTCCAAACTTAAGAGTGGATCAGCGTAAAACCTCTAGTGCTGAGGATATGGCCCGTAAAAATTCTATGAGTGGCCCTCCTCCCGCTGCTGTTCCTAGCACTAGCGGTAGTGTAGGCGGGTTCAAGAGTAAGCATACGTTTACAAAATGTAGTGTAAAAAGTCCGACACGCACAAGAGTCATACGGAAATTTTGTACAGGCACAGGAATTGGCCAGTGGTTCTTCGGTTCCAGCAATTCTACTAATACCGACAATAATTTCCTTCGCGTTTCAAGCGCTTTTCCCAATCGTCGCCTGTCGGATAACACTCTGATGACGCCCAAAATACGCATCGCGCCATCGTGCGCTTCGTCCCCGGGTGGCACTCCGGGAGGAACATCTGGTTTGCCTACGCGCCGCCACTCGAGCATTGGGCCCCAGGAGCGTCGGGGCTCGGCTGTCAACCTTTCTCCGCCAACCGTAAGTCATATATGTACAAACCTTTACGCTTGCACGCTTGTTTTAACACTGATAATTTCTAATAGTATGTACCTACATACACTTATTATTAACGATTTAAATTTAGAAGCTTGGAACAGGGCTGCCCGTAGTAAAACGATGACGGTGAGGAGTCAGGGTGTGAGGTAAATCCGGTAGTGAAAGTGGTTATTTTGACAGGGCCACCAGTACAGGGGAAGGGCTGGCGGCTCAGGCTCGAGCCTGTCCGTGCCGGCAACGTCACAATGCGTCGTAAGTGATGTGAAACTCGTACACGTACGCCCGCCTGGCTGCGTGTCCTCCCCGATCCCCCTTTTGAATGTGGAAATGTCCAGCTTTACATTGATGTGGTTCTGTTCTTCTGCGGTCGTGTCTTCTTCCCAAACCGACTGGGAGAGATAGTATTTGATCTTTCATCACATTATCATTTTGCATATGCACGTGGATCGGACCTTTCACCGCATCGCATCGCTATTCCTTTCAATCCTGCGAGAAGCCCGAACAGACACAACACTTCAAGAAATAATGAAGTGATGCATGTTCGTTGAAGACTTTGTTTAGTGAACGTCCGCGATGCATGAACGCCACACCACCGCGTTGTCTGTATCGTTGAATGCTCTGCTGGGAGGGTAGCTCCTCTCGCCTCTGGTGAATGCTACTGTATCCAATCTGTGATTGTTCGGGTGTGTACCTGCAGACACGTCGATTCCATTGTGGCACGTTTTTTTCCAAATTAACCCGGTACAACAATTCCAGGAAAAAATTGCAATATAAAAATGAAATTTTAAACTTTTATCACAGCGTGTACCAATTGGCTTTAGAAAAATCGGTAACAGTACAACAAGAGTACTGCACAGCACAAACAATGTATATCCCACAGTTCGGCAGGTCACATAGGTCTTCTTAAGTGTTGAATGTGTTTGTTTGAAGGACGCTACGCAAGTAAGGTAATCATTTGTTCATTCATATCAAGGCTCTGTGCCATGTATTACGTATTCGCTGTCTCATTTACTGTTGCTATTTGTTCTTCTACGCAGCTTGCACGGAGCATGATCGTGAGTATATGGTTCCATTCTACTATTTGCTGCGGATTGCGCAGTACCTATCAATCATTGTTTCCAAACTGTTATCTACTATTATGAGGAGTAGAGTACACTAAGATGTTGCCTTTTACGTTTGATAGTATTACTTCTCCGTCGTAATATGCTTTGAACATCAGCTTAGCAGCTCATTTGCGTAATACCTAACATCTGGCAACATCTACGTGCGAGTATTTCGCTGTAGTGTAGATCTGAGTATCAACAACTATGAATCACAAGAACTTTCTCAAGCCCACCACGCTTTAAAACGCTAAATATAGACGTACGTATTTACCTAAATATAAGGCATGCCATAGTTAAATATTATTGTATACTTTCACTGTGGTAGGATAAGGATTGATCAATTTTCCCATTTAAAACTAACATATACATACTTAAATATCAGATTATCAGAATTGGTGAACTTCTTGATTTTTTTGTTAAGGTGGCCTTAACGGTGATATTTGCGAAAAAAATGCAACTGTGATAAAGAAATTTAAGTAGGTTTAGGGCAATCGACCTGGAGTCCTTAATAATCTGAGACTAACATTATTTAATATATGTAGTATTCAGTCGATTGAGTTCAAATTCATTAGTTTGGTAAATCTATTAGACACAAAAGTATATTTTAAAGTTTCAAAAAGGTTCCCCGCAGGGATCGTGGAGCAGACAGTTTGTTATAAAGCTAACAAGTTCTGGATAGTTGCGATTAATAAAACTTATGAAAGTTTCTGATACCTGTTAGACACAAGTAGCAGTAATTAAAAGTCGTATTTAAGTTGAAAAATAAATACTTCATTTCAAATAAACTGCTAGAGTATAACAGTGTTTTATAATTCTTTATATTATAGCATATATACCTATACATATGTATAACAGAATAGTACCGAAGACAGATCGGTAACCTTATTTCTGAAAACGAAAAAATATCTTACTTCGATTGATTGAATTGTATTGAATCATATAAATAATATAATTAGTTTTGTTCATGTCTGTGTACTTGTATATTTGTTTAAAGTTTTAAAGATTAGATACTTACGACCATTCGATTACCATTATATTGAATGTGTATTGCCCATGTTTCATTCAGACTATAAGGAAAGTTAGCTACTTAGAAACAAATACATTTTAGTTGTTACAATGTTCTCCAGAATGTATCCTACTATCCACTCTTTATTTAAATATTCTAGTATTATTACCTTTTATCCATTATGTAACGAAGCAACAAAAATTATCATTACCAGTTAAATTCACATATTCGTATATAGTGCATTGTATGCCCTATTCATGTAGCTGTTTGAAGTACAATCCTAGTTTTCGCAAATGACTACCGCTAAGGCACCGCCCATTGGCATGTGAGTATTAACATATTGTTGCTGTGTAGGGTGGCTCAATGCCAAACACATCATCGAGCGTACCGTTTCTGCTGACTTCTTCAATGCAATCCATTCGCTCGCGCCGCCCATCGGCCTGCTTGAGCGGCTCTCAGGGCTCCGGACTGCTGCAACAGATTAGCAGTGGCATGGTAAGGCACCTACCGAGCAGCAGTAGACACCACTCGCACGCCTCGACTTCGACCAACTGGAGCCTGCAGGGCGCCACCGCGGCCGGCTACAACGCTCTGCAGCACACCGCCATGGCAGTGAGGAAATGCCCCTCACTCAATATTACCCTCACGCGTTAAACACCCGCCGCTCGACCCCCGCCACCTGTACAAGCCGGAGAGCGCACGTAGTGTTAGCGGAGCTCTCGCGCCATCTTCGGCTGCTTCGTGTATACTTGTACCCGTACGCGGGCCTCGCCGAGTCTCTCACCTTGCGATCTGCCGACAAGGGCGATCCCCGTCCGGTCCCTTGATGTTTAGTAGTTTATCATATATTATATCGATGTTGTTTTAAGTATTACCATATTAACTTTATTTGCGAGTATTTCATTAGAGATATGGACTTGTTTATTTTCCTATGCTGTCTATCAATATTGATTTTTGTTAGATTGTGAAAGCGTAAGAAATTGAAAGAGTATACGGAAACGCGTAATCTTTTCATAAAATTCTTAGGAAGACACCGACGTTACTCAATATTAATATGTATATAAATTCACTTAAGTATGTATAAAGATTGTCAACAGAGGTATGATGTGGGACAACCTGTGTAAGCTTTAATCAGTATAATGTGGACATATCACTTTGGGTGGAGAAAGGAAGTTGGAAGATGTCCATTTGTAATAAAATTTAAGAGTATAGAGATTGAATAACTTATTATAACAGTATAATGTTACCAAACTGATAGTATACAGCAAAATGTTGTATAGAGGTGCTGTGATATGATATTGTTGTATTTATTAGAAACTACTATATAGTAGTAATAACTTCTTCTGTTGTTGAACGTTAACACTTTAATGGCATTTGAGAAATCGTTGGCTATCAAAATTAAGACGTTAATGTGCCAAACGTTAAATAAATAATATTAACATGTAATGTGCCAGCAGGACGGCGGTCGATTCTTATTAATGTGCATTGGAAACTGAATGTAATTGTTACGTGGTCGTAAGCAAACATTGAGGAGCTTGACATGTCAGCGGCTGGAAGTGGCCACTTCGGTTCCTTGGGCCGACATGCCGCTACCATTACTGCTTACACCAGCTATGGCAACTTGTCGAAAGCTTGCACGAGAAGGCTCTGATATATTTTAAATGAAAGTAAATATTAAATATGCACAGGGTGTGAAAAATTAAATAACCTCGAACAAATTGAACATATGATGTTTTAATATTTCATGAAAGATATTCATGCCTCAAATAGGCGTTGTAATAGTTACTTAAAGCGATGTACTAATAAAAATCAACATTGGCTAATAAAACGTCAACAGAACGTGCGTAAAAGTTTTCCGCGAAACGAACTAATTTATTTATCCTACCTTCATTGTTGTACAGTCAGCATAATATAGTGTATGCAGAAAGTGTGTGTGTATGTGTACTTAGTACAGTACACACTTTCGGTTTAGAATATTTAGAAGTCAACCTGCCCTCTATGAGCTTGAGTACCTACATTTAGTTTGCTTTTCCGGCTTATCGGTACGTATTATGTAGTGTTGAGGATTGTTTGCTCCGTAGTCGAGTGACACCTAGTTAGCTGATGCTGGCGAATCCGGCAGAGCTGGCGCTGGCGTAGAGTAGACTGTAGCACTAGTTGGTACCGTAGCGGGCGGGCGGGGACCGCGCTGCCGGTTGCGGTGGCGGCGCGAACTCCCGGCCGCAACCATTGATCTGGCACGCGCTTTGTTTTTAATATTTTGTTTTATTATGGTTTCTTCCAGTACCAGCTGTTTTCCGGACGTACATAAAGAGAATTTGATATACGTTAGAGCCGCGTAGCGTAAACCGAGACCGGATTGGCGCCCACGGGCCGCGCTTGCGCCGAGGCCACGCGCCCCTCGCCGCCCGTCCGCGCCTCGCCGCTGCACGCGCTCATTTCTACTTATAAATGAGCTTCAATTTTTAAAGTACTTTTTCGATCAAAAGTTAATAAATCTAGTAAATTTGTTGCAAGTAATTACACTTATGAATATTTACTAACTTTCATAATATAATTATCAGTGTCATGCATATCGGCCTAACGATTTTCTAATGACTTGCGGTGGAATCTAACAAATTTTCTGTTTCAATGCATGCTGACTGTCAATAAGCACTATTATAGATTTACTTATTAATATATTTAAGTAACATTTACAAAATGACTAATATCAGAAAGTACACAATGATGATGGGTGCATCTGCATTCGTTTCCATTATATTTGATCGTCAGTAGAGTGTTCGTTTGTTACGCCGAAATTGCAATCAGAATGAAAGGTATTGAGTTGCACGTCACACCTAACGGTTATGACCTTGTAATACCTATATTGGCACAGTAATTACAGTAATTTGCACTTCTTAACGAAATAGTACTGCTTCTGTATGCACATATTTACACTCTTTTATTGAAATATTTGGACACTATAGTTTTGGTTAGAGCTCAGGTCGAGAACATACTCTTCGGGAGAAACAAAATTAATACCGCATTGGATGGAAGGCAAAAGTAACTTTCGGGTAAAGTTCGAGTAAATTTAATGTTTAACAGATATTTGGCACCGATAGCTGAGATTTCTCGTGAAGTATGAGTACTATACAAGTAAGTAACGATTAAAGTATTCGAGTATATATTATGCTCTAGTAAGTAAAGTTAAGTAAAAGAGATTTTTTGAAATGTGATAGTATATCGTGAAAGTTCACCTGTCGGTCCAGTACTCTAACAAGGTGCCAAATTAATTAAAAATAAATTAAATGATCGCGATGAAAATGATAATTCACGCGACAATATTGTAACTTAAATTAAAATTATATCTTCGAAAGAATAAAAATATTTCCTTCTTAACGCTGAATAACCATGTAAAATTGTTAGTATTAAAATAAACTTTTTGCTTGAAATCGTAAACTATGACAACGTCAAATTAAAAGCCGGTTTAACTTTAGCTAGATAAAACTGTGAAATTAAGACGGTGAGTCGACCAGAATTGTGTGGGTTCGCGCGCGCGAAAAACACTATTTGAATTAAAATAAAAACAACTCACACAAACAAAGTAATGCAGCGTCACTAAAATAAAAGAAAGAAATGACTAGAATGGAATACATGAAAGGTAAAACATTTGAAACAAAGAAACTAAAAAATCTAAAGTCTGCATTAGCCACTTACTTACACATATATTATATATTCTATTTAAACAAGACTCGCATACTTTCAATTCCTTTCAGCTTTGTCAACCAATTATGTACTATACATCTATATTGCTTAAAACATAATATTGTATTATATGTCTATCTTTAGTATGTATAAAATGCTGATAAATGCTATAAGTTAGTGAAAATAGGATACCTGCTTTGGTACATGACATTTCTTGAATGTAAAAGATGCACTTTCACATTGATATATTAATATTACAACAGTGGTAATATTTGTCATCAATAGTAATTACTGCTTAATATCAAAAAAGTAATTCATAACATTGTTTTGTATATAACTAATTCCATTCGGAAATGTTCATCAAATAAAACTGGTATTCTATTCGAACGCTCTCTACAAAGCAAAGTAAATAAAACTTATGTATAATAAAGTGTGCATAATGTTTCATTGAATATTAAAAGTGTGAAGGCGTAATTAGGTATAAGTATGTCCAGAAAGTGAGAAGTAGAAGTAAGTGAAGTATAAAATTTATCATATTATACCTACGTATTATTATAACTATGATGTATTGTAATTATTCTAGTTTTAATATAATATTATTATTATCATTGATGTTGTGAACTTAATAACTTTATTCTCAAAACCCTTTGCCTTCATTTTTATTAATATAGTATTTAAATAAAAATATATATGGTAATATATGTAATATATATCCAGGGCTACGTAAGAGGTAGATTCGGGACGGCACGTGCTGAGTTGTTGCTGTCACTATAAGTGGCAGAGAACATAGTTTAATATTCAAGAAACACTATATATTATATATGGAAACGTAATTTCCCACATTACTTCTAGAAATCATTCCTTTCTTTTCGAGATGAAGGACTTATATTGTACACAGCTTCTCAAGCTGCTTCGAAGGCAGACGTGAACAATGTATATTTTATCACGCACCTCCAAATACAAGATTGCACTAACTCAAGATTTGGAGGGTGAGCAATCATTATAATGTCAATGTAAAATGCAATTTTAATGAACTTGAAGAAATAATTTAATAATTGTAATCAGTAATGATGATTACGCATGTAAATCGTGGTAAATAATTTGATAGTTTGCGACAGGTATCGTGCGGCCAAAGGTCCCTTGTCTATAAGCTTGTCATAGTTGTTGTGGCCCCTGTCCGCCCCCCTCCCCCTTACACCCCGGTAATAAGTTGTGAATGTACGTAGCCTCCTCGCGACAGTCCGGCAGATCATTACATTCTTCTAAGGGTTGTGGCGTTTGCTCAGTGCTATATTATGTGATATCATTTCAGTGTGCCCTGATTCTATGATGATATTCATATCAACATTCACTTTTTGAATTATTCGATGTGATTCTATGAAGTAGATATTTAAATACCTTATTATATACCTTTTACGATATATAAAAAATGTTTTATCAAATATTGTGCTACCTTTGTGATCTCGTTCTATAAATATTGACTTCTAACTTCTTTAAACTTGACTGCTCTCTTCTAAGGCAAAGATGATTCGACAATACTTTTATAAGATCTTTCGTATTTTTCGATCGACGCGAAACATTCTTGGTTAAATTTAAGGTGCATAGAGATATAATGGTATATATCGTGTTTGAGCTTATCAGATTGAATTTTATGAATAGTTACGGATTTTCCTGATTCTACTCTTGTTGAAACGAAAAGACGAAAAAGTTGCCTTAATCTTGTTAACTCTATTCTCAACATGTCCCAGACTGAGCAGTTCCTACACTTGTGGTCTTCTTCGGAAACTCGACGTTTCTGGAAACATCACTTTCCCTTTCTCCCGCGAACCTCCATTGTTCCTCTTCTAGGATACCTTACATTTTTGTGAATATCTAATTAGTGTTGGACAAAGATCCACTCGTATATCAATATTATAATAAAAAAAATATTAATCAACATAAATATAAATGTTATATTATCGTGAATTCAA